CAGAAAATCTTCTCCAGAAAAAGATAGAATTACAACAACGACGGTCATTTCCATTGAATCGGACGTTGGCATTCATATTATTTTATCGTACAATTTATCCTCACATGTACTGCAATTTTGTCATTCCGTACAGTGCGACAAACAATCAATCGATCGCATCAGTTAGGGTGCGACTACTCGTACTAATTCGTTTGGTTAATTTCTAGCTGTCAAAAATGCGGAAGAAAAACGCTCTGAATTGTCACCACATTTCAGTTTCCGTATTTCTTCCTGAGATTCTGATCCACACAAGCAAAAATCGAAGCATTGTTCGTAGTCGTCATTGACAGCAGGTTATTGAAAGTAATGCATTTGGCTTTAAAAGCGAGGGAAACATGCTTCCATTTTTGGTCGAAGAGCTATATTTATGTGAGAGAAACTCTTAATGAAATACCCACGCTACCGGTACTTAYTATTGATTGCTGGTAATGATGGTCAATCGTTGGAGCGACTGTGGTTGCCGATATCGTTTCCAAATCAGACTCTGACAGAATGGGCCATAAGCTAATTATATTCGCTCGTGGTTAGTGTTTGTGTTTAGAGCATTGGGAACGGACCGTAAGTAATATTGTGAATTTTGCTAACACATTTGATATCAATGAAACATCGATGATTATGGYGGAGACAATCTTTCTATACGATTGGAATTCAGGTACTCCATACACCATGAAACATGCAGATTTGCCCTGAAGCCAAAGTCGTTCTCACTTCGAGATGCCGCCTCTTCATGATCCAAAGTCACTTCCGCCACCTCCTTTCCTCTCACTTATTCCGTTCCCGCTATTGTCCCTTCAATTTCCTTTTGGTTTGTACGAAAGGTGATTGATTATCGTAAATCGAAGGAGATGAATTAGCCGGATCWTTGGGTTGAAAACCAAATTTCGGGGTGCCTGTCTCAATTACTATTTTTTCAATTATTTGCTGATATCTTACTTCATACATGGCGAAATGAGTTGTATTTCTAAAGCAGGTTAGCTCTTAATCATTTTGAGAGATCCATTGATGGAAAAGTAAAATGTAACCAAGATAATGGAACCCTTTATGGTTTGATGCTACCGTTCACCGAACAAATTATTCCTTTCACAGTGCTACGGAAAGTGCAGTGCTACGGAAACTTTTGGGAACTGTGCAGTGCAAAAGAAAATTCGATTTCATTTTGAGAGGACGAAAGAGTCGACTTTGCGTCACGATGCAAACAGATAAGATTTCTTTCCTGCTTTCCTATCTTCGATTTAAAAAGAAGAATCAAATTTGCAGGTAAGACCGAAGAYATCATCGGSTACGATATCTATGCTCAAAGATTTGTTTAAGGTAAGGGTCTTTTCACAAAGGATAATGCGATCAAGAGCATCCATGATCTAAGTAGGAAAGCAAGCAGCCACCACTACCGACGGAGTCTTCTTTCCCAAATGACCTACSAAAATGAATATTAGAACTTTGAAATCGGAAGATCTGTAATCTTCTTTTCGTTTGCTCCCTGCTTACCGCAAGATATGTTCGTTTRTGCCGGGTGCAGAGGTCGAAGACAAGCTGTCACAAGCGTGGAATAGAAAACAGAGGTGGAAGCGAGCCATGTTCATGCATAGCAATTTATTCACAGCGAACTTCAGGATATTCAGTATCATTATTCGTGGGCTCGCTCTTCCAAACGAGTATGGAGTATTGGTACTGAGTATTCTGAACTTCGATGGAGATATTTCAATATTTTTCTTTTCGGAACGTCTTCATTCTACAGTTCGTTCGATTAAAGTGATCCTTTACGAGATACACCTTGTATCCACGGACAATGACTCGGATAGCAATGTGATTTCAAAATATTGTCTCGTATCATTCTGGGCCAACAGAAACTATTGCATCCAATTATTGGACTGAACATAACACTAACGATCTACACGACAATGACCAACGAAATCATATTTTTTATTGCATCTCGATGTAACTTCGGTACGTTCAAAAATACAATAATTGCCGTTCTATAGTCAAACCGGCATGGTACTTTCATAATTGCGTTCTCTTGCACCAACACTGCAACGCAATAAGCAATGGTCGTGGTAGTGATAGTTCACYGCAATTTATTTCTAATCACGGACTAGGTTTCCGAAATACAGGAACCATGTCGATTTCAATTGTTTTTGAAAAAATTAGATTCCCATGACCCCCTCCTGGTACCGAAAATTGTGATCAGTTTTGATCACAAAAAAATGTGATCAGAAATAACAAATTTGTGATCAGTTTTTTGTGATCAATCTTGATCACAAATTCGAACTAATGTATGTACATTTTATACTAGTCCCGTTTTTAATATTCTATTTTAATATCCTAATATAAATAATACCAGTATTTCTACGCGTTTGTACTAGTAGTACTAGTAGTAAACCAGTCCTGTACCAAGAGCATAGTGATATGCCCTATTAAGAATTAACCCGACGTGCTACTAATATGACTATATATAAGTGTATACATGAATATATATATATATATACGTAATTAAACTATTCATGGAATAATAAAGTAAATATTAATTCTAATCCGTTGGAAAAAAATGTGATCAAAACTGATCACAAAAAATTGTGATCAAGAATTTCATCAATTTTGTGATCATTTCTGATCACATTTTTTTGTGATCAAAACCGATCACAAAATGAAAAAAGGGGACCGGAGAATTTATTTTTTTCTAAAAACATCGAAATCGACATGGTTCCAGTATGGTACGAGTAATGTCTGTGAGTAACAGACGAAACACTTCAATCACGACTAAATAGTGAGTGAGTCAAACCGTAGCGAATGATTACTGCACAGGTTCCAGCAATACTGTGTAGAAGTAGTATTAGGTATTAAGACRAAATAATCATGATTCCCAATTTGAAAATAGCAATGAGCAGAAAGAGGTGTCAAGGCAGAAAAACATTCCCAAGCCCAGTTGGTGAGTTATCTACACATCATAGCACAAATGTGTCCTGAAATGAGCTTGTTCTTGTTAAAACAAGACCCCAAAGACTTGCTCTGGAGTCTTTGGTTGTGACAGATGACTGTCCCTGAGACAGGAGGCTTCCATTATACTACTAGTAGTACTAAGGTTGTCAATGAGACAACTGTAGTACTACTAGTACTACTAGTACTACTACTAGTAGCTAATGGTGTTCAGTGTCCCAAAGTGCCATGTGGGATTCCAATAGTACTAGTACTAGTAGAGCTTGAATGTCCCTCACCTGTTTTTATGCCTTGGGCCTCCTGGAGGATGATGGCCACCACAAACACTACCACTATCTTAGTTTTTGCACTGTAGATTTGCATTGGCGAGTCAATCTGGCTAAGCTACACTACTACAACTAGCAGTGCTGGATGGCCCAATTGCATTATTATTAATTTTGGCAGAAATTTTCATGCAAATTGACAAGCAGCTCACAGCRCACACACTGTTGAATTCATACATTATGTCTTCTTTTAAGTCTAGGAAGTCTAAAAGCATTCTCTGCACTGTTGACTAGATAAAACTACTACTATAAAMAACAAGAAGAATGGTGAGGACATGGTCCACTTACACTAAAATCACTACTAAATTCCTCATTCTGGTTTGGGCATCCAAATCATACATATAGTCTCCTGCTCTCGCTTGCTTTTTCTTGCTCKTTCCATACTTATCTTCATAACTGTAGAAATACATATTGCTCTTGCTCTTGTCTGTTAAGTTGCCTTGTTTGCCCTGTCTATCTGCTGCCCAGCTGGTGTGATTCCTTTGTTCCACAACACACTCCTGTAAGCTCACTAGTAGTAAGCAGTGGCACTCACTGTTGTTCTTTGTGCCACATGCTGCTGTTGTAGCTGATGGTTCATGTGAGATCACCTGCAGCAGCCTTGAGTGCTTGTTCACACTTTCTGGCCTCAATGCTAGTCCGGTCCAGTTGGTTGTACTCAGTAATGTGTGTTCATGGAGCCTGAGGATTAGATTCTGAAAGCATTGGAACTGGCTTCCTTGGAGTGGCTTTGTGAAGTAGTTGGTAAACATGTCAAGTATTGGGCAATATTCCACATTGAGCTCATTTGCGGCAATTATATCAGTCATAAAGAAATATTGGATAWTCATATGATGCATCCATTTGCCACTGGAGCAATTTCCATGTTTCTCCAGCTTCATAGAACCTTGATTGACTTGGTATACAATATTATCTGTCATTGGGAAGCCCTGGCCCTTCAGGAAATGCCTGGTCCAAATAAACTGTGTAATCTCATCGTCAACCCCAAGCAGCTCTGCTTCAGTTGAGGTTCATGTGTTCAGTTTCTGCTTGAATGAAGATGAGTTTACAGCACCCTGACCCACTTTCATGGTCATACCAGTGTGKTTTTTCATAYCATTATGCACTGCAAATGCAGCGTCAATGTACCAATGCAACTGTCCAGTTCCATCTATGTCACCAAGGTTTAGTGGTGGTAGTAGGCCAATTGATCCTGGGAGATATTTCATCACTCTGTCCAGTGTCTTCCAGTCATCTGTGTCTGTGTCAGGCACTCCTGTGCAGGGGAATGCTACGAGAAGCTGTATATCTGGCCAAGCTCTTGYTGCCAGGAACAGCAGTTTAGCAGTGTTGGTATGGAATGTGACTTGATTAGCCTCGCTTAGCTTGATTGGATCCTTGTCATTGATCTCAAACAGGCATTGTACAGCTGGGGTAACAGCCTCTTCAGTATTCATTACTTCCAGCGGTTCATTCAGCATGTTCTCAATGTAGTAATGTATAGTGAATTTAACTCTCCCCACTTTTGAGAAGTCAATAATCATTCCAATATGATCATGGATCTTTCCATGTGTTACCACCAGCGTCGCTTCCTTGCCATACACCTTGTTGGTCTGGTCAAGTGTTGCCGTTACCACACTTGGATAAATGGTGTGATATTTTGATAGTATCATCCACATGTCACAGTATCATACACTGCTTCCCATCAATATCTTTGTTCATCACACACCACCAGTCATATGGGTTCACAGTGAATCCCCACCTGGTTAGATCAGCACTTCTTAGTTTTAGCCAGGGTTGCGTTAACTTTTTCCTGTCGCGTGTTGCCAAATGTTGCCACCTGGAAAATTTAGGATTTTTTTTTGCTACTACTAGTACTACACTGCTACTCCACTTATCACACCCCTCTCATCACTATAAACAATATTATAAGAATGTATTTTAACAACTATAAATATATTCATTTATAACACATCACTACACTTGATGGTTGAAGTTACTCCAATGCTCTTTACATACAGCAACATTGCAACTTCTGCAACCATTCCTTGACATTTATACTACTAATCCATGCTGGCAACTTCCTCAATCTCTTCTCTGATGAGTTAGTAGTAGGATACCTATGCTTTGCTTCTTCTACACAGATAACACAATAGTTCCTCTTTACTCCTTCATACTTGCCACTGCATCTTTCTTTATGTGGCTTTGACATYACCTTTCCATTAGCAATGGTGCTGGTCTTCTTGTTCACACAGAAGAAACAAATCCTGCAATTGCAAGGGTGATATTTTCCATTCTTTGAAGTCTGAGGCATCCACTCTGGCTTAGAACCTTCATCATATGGAGCTTTCAAGTCCATTTCAATACCTCTATTCATCAATGCAATGCCAAGATGAGATYGAAACTTGTTTTGGTTTGTATATCTTCTATTCCTTCATAAACTCGTCACATGCTAGGCTAGTGATAATTAGTATGTAGCAGGAGTGTACCACTCTATCAAGCAACCAGTATCATTAGCTTTGCTTCTGTTGTCACCAAAATGAATATATCACTTAACAAAGCAGCATCTATTCTTGCTCATTGTATTCCTGACCATGGGAACATACACACYGCCATCCTCAAGACAAGCCCAAAGAATTTGGGGAGATTGATTTGAACCACCCAAACCTCCATAGCAGATGCAAATACCAAGCCAGGCAWGGATGTAACCAGAAGTGAAGTTCCATTGGTCTTTGACTGAATGTAGAACACACTTTTGTTTGTTGGGATTGGTGACATCACAGAGCTTGAGCATCTTTGTACCCTTCCATTAGCATCAGCAGCTTCAACTTCTGTCACCCAATCTTCAAAYGCATACYGGTTGGACTCATTTGCTACTATCATCTGAAGAWTTTTTCCATCAAACAAGAACAAGAACAAATGCTCCAACTCCTCCACCTTATTAGTGCAGCCATCCAATGAATTGCTTACAGCATGGGCGTGACCTGGGATGGTCACACCTCCTCCAAGTGCTGTATCATAGTACTGGTGGACATTGGGAGGAGGATACCAAGGGACACCCAGCATACTTTTTGATGATCAGATATGGGTCCATGGTCATCTTGGGAGGGGCWCCTAGTACTATGAGGGTGCAGGCCAGCACCACTGTTGTCAGATAGGTCTGCATCATTCTTAGGAGTATGACCATAGGACRAACAATTGTTGTCAACCATCACACAGAAAAAGAATCATCATCATCCATCTTAGCAATATGATTATTTTATCATGTTGGTAAATATGATGGTTTGGTTTATAGTTTACATTCTGGTATGGAGTGTTTTATATTTTCTTGGTTGGATATTACAAGGAGAGAAATGAATGAGCAGAAAAGTTGTTTTATATAAAGTAATTGTTTAAAACTCTTTTTGGTATTTCAGTCTTATTTTGTGTAGGATTTGTACTRCAGTCTACACAAGTGAAAATCATGGAAACTCMAAAAAAAATTCCAAAAAATGCACAATTTGGGCGGAGATGGGAAAAGTTAAGGAAACCATATATTGCTTTGAGACACTTAACATAAAGGGATTTCTTTCCAGTTGGCCCAACCCTGATGTGTGTTTGGTACTGTTTTGATGATTTGCAATGATATCTCTAAAAGGAGATCCAGCATTACTCCTTCCAACTTGAGGTGAGTTTCACCACTTGTCTTGTCAGCAGTTTGTAGGAATGCCTGCTGGAATATCAGCTGTTGCAATGTCATGCTTTTTGTAGGTGTTAATCACGCACAAAAGCATGAGGGCTTGAATTGAAACAGTCAGCAAAGTTGCATCTTCCTTATTCATCCAACTCCATTGCTTTTACCCATCAGCACACCCTCTTCCTTTGATCTTCCTGCATCTTTTCTCCTTGAGGAACACCAAGTATGCCAGAGCCTTTGCTTTTTGTTCTGCTGTCAACCMCTGGGGTGCAATTGGTTCCACAACCTCACAGTCATGTAGCTACTTCAGCTCTGTCTTGATTGTATCAATGCCTTGCTCCCCAAAGATTTAATACCCTGTTTCATTCCTTACTAGATTGGGAGGATGGAGTGGACCTGCTGATAGAAAGCATTCTTTTCCTGGTTAAACTCCATGAGTGCATCCAACACCATGATGGCAYATTGCTTCATGGTTTGATTTTACTTTCTGCGGACCATGTTGAACTTATTGAGGAACCCCACAGTCTTCAAATGATTGGTTGCGGCCGCCGCCTTGTTTTTTTTTTTGAAGGATGGCGGCGGCCAAAAAAACTTACTACGGTGCAAAAACTAGGTTATTGCTACTAGTAGAATGACTTGTTGTCACAATAATGACTGAATGTTTAAGTTAAAAATGAAATAATTTATTTTGGTAAAGGTACTAATTTATTTGCAAAAATTAATATACCGGGGTTTGTACAAATCTAAACTTTAAAAAAATATCTTTTTGTTTCCTTGGTAAGTCCAGGGCTGTAAGAATTCTTCAAAGTTAGTGGCTACATCCACTAAAGATAGAGATAGTGAAGTGCAGTGCACCATAGCCAACTGTAATTGGGGTACTTCATTGGTCTCAGGCCGGCCTACCTCCCTCCTGTTGGTCCATCATCATCATCATCATCATCATCATCATCATCATCTGATTGCTCCTGTGAATCATTTCTTACTACGTTATCATTGCTTGATTCACTACTGCTATTAGTTTCCTCAGAATTGAGTGAGCCCATATCCTTTGCTATCATTGGTAGTTGGTATTGTCTGTCAAGTCATCCTCATTATCCCATCTGCAGCCAAATGTATGATCTGTGGCTGTCTGTGGCTGTGATTGTCAGTGTYGCCATCCGTCATCAGCTCACCCAAACAGTTCCAGAACTCTCTTCCTTCCTGATAGTTCCTTGCCAGCTTGTGGATACGGTCTATTACGTCATTTGGCATCAGCAATTGTGTTCATCTGTTCCTGTTGATGACTTGCCCTGTCTTTAAGCTGTAGAACCACGCCAGTATCCCCCTTACACATTTCCTATTTGTCTCAGYAGTGCAAGGGCTTCCACAGCRTGTGGGTTACTAGTTGTGTTGTCAGTCACCTTGTGAGTCTGCATGTACTCACTGAATCACAGTTTCGTGTGCTTAGCATAGTCTATGGTGAGCCCTGTGACCACTTGCCTCAGACTCATTGTCTCCAACAGACCTGATGGTTTTGCCACCAAAATACTTGGCTTGCTAAAAGTTCTATTGTCACATTTCAAGACATGTGCTTGCATGGTAGAGTGCATTGGATTCCCCTCACTTGTTCCTTGATGGTGCAAATGTATCTCTCCACTTCCAGTACATGTTTATCTTTTGACACAAGTTTGGGGTGATTATGGTACTGATTGTATTTGTAGCAAGGGGTTCAAAACTTTGTATCCATGTTCATTACTTTGATACTGAAACTGCGTTTTGAGTTGAGAGGTTGMAGGTCTGTTATACACTCCTGTAATGTATYGGCCTTGGCTTTTACTAATATCATTCTTGCTACAGTTGTTCCAAACTGTATGTGACAGGATATTGTTATGAAGAACTGGATCCCTTTCACATACATTATATCTGCACCCATCTCAACTCTTGAGTATCCCTCAGTTATACTGTCTGGCAGTGCTGCTACTTCAACACAAACATGCTTTTCCTGTTTTTGCACTGTCTTCCCTTTCCAACCAACCATGGAGGACCCCAATATATCATGTGCAATCTGGATGCCTTCTCACATGACTGGACAGTTTATAATTTATGTTGCATGTTCCAGGAGATTCAGCTTTTTCCTCTCCACTCYCGTTGTCTTGTTGCTCTTGTCTAGTACCACCACCATGACATGATATTGTGAGCTTACGCGACTGGTGTTCCTTRTGTATCTGCCCTTTTTGCTGCTGTTTTCTTTATATTTTCATATTGAATTCATACATTACACCATTGCATCTCTTAAGTGTAGAAAGTTAGTACTAAAAGCATTCTCATCTGCACTGTTGACTAGATAAAACTACTAGTAGTACTAGCTATAAACAAGAAGAATGAGGACAATGGGTCATTCCCGTTAGTCTAGATGGTCTACTTTTTGGAAGACAGACAGACAAAAAATAGACCATTTTTAGACTTTCTGGATTCCATTAAAGTAGAAGAGGGCCTAAAGAACTGTCCGTTGGGACCCTGTTTTTAATGATTCCTGTTAAACTAAAAAGTCTAAACTAGACCATTTAGAATGTTAGACGACCATCTAGACTATCGGGAATGACCCAATGTCCACTCATACTAAAATCACTACTAAGAAATTCCTCATTCTAGTTTTCACATCCAAATAATAGGTATAGTCTCCTCCTGCTCTTGCTTGCTTTTTCTTGCTCATTCCATACTACTTATCTTGATAACTGTAGAAACACATATTGCTCTTGCTCTTGTCTGTTAAGTTGCCTTTTTTGTTGCCTTGTCTGTCTGCTGCCCAGCTCGTGTGATTACTTTGTTCCACAACACACACAACCCAAGTTTGGAAACTGAAGAATTTGTGTTGATCACCCATGAGTATGCGAGATAGTAATCACAGCGAATAGATTTCAACTCATTTCATCTCAAATCAATTAAATTCGACAAATGATTAGCATCTAAGACATAATGTTCTCTTCGTCGCCGTCAATGGCGATGGCTGCTTTTCCTTCCCCTCAGCAACGACGCAGACATACAGCTCGGGATCCATATTCATACCTGGAACAATGGGAAACTTCCGGTACCCGTTCGGCGCGACGACGAAGACGAAGAAGAAGACGATTCCGTTATAGAAGGGAAGCAAGATTTCTACTGACTATCTTGGTGACGCTTCTATTGGTTGTATTTCTGGTGACTGCTATAAACTTTTTGGTTGCGTCAACAACAGCTGCGAACAGCATCAACACTGGTTTAAGCTCGCCGTCGTCATCGATAGATCACACCAACRGGCCATCCGTATTTTACTCTCTTGTTCTTCCAGCTGCTGAAATTGTCGGCGTTATCATTGCCATCGTCGCTTTTCGCRGTAATGCAGCTGTGTGGCAACAATTTTTTTGGGCGGATCCAACAGCGACTAACAGTCCGTATAACACTAACGCTTTCACGGCATCGATGACGGTTGCACAAACCTTGGAGGTGTTCAACCGAGARCGATCTGCCAGAGGAGAATCGACCGTATCCGAAGAATCCATTACAGCATATGAGCGGTTCTTGCGAGATCTAGCATTTTCGGTTGTGATAGCGAACTCATCGGCAGAGACTCCCACCAATAGATTTCCAATCAACAATGATAGGAACACCAAAGGAGTAACGAAAGAGCAGTTGGAAAAAATCTGCCCCGAACGTACAATTTTGATCCCAAGAAATAACAATKTGAAGGATGATGGAATCTACTCMAAGTGTGTGGATTCTTTGTGTGGAGAAGATTTTTTCTCATTCCAGACGGAATGTGGCATTTGCCTGGAGGCTTACGATACAGAAATCCCAGACGACAGAACAAGTAACAATAATAGAAATGATGACAGCGACATTGAAAGAAACAAATATGCTTTGAGGGGAAGGAATGTCGTCACCGTGCGAACGTTACCCTGCAACCATGTCTTCCACAGTCGATGTATCGATCTGTGGTTGCTGAAACGGTCGACAAATTGCCCAATCTGCAAGCGTTCAGTTCTCCTCCCCCGTCCACCTTGGCCCCGATCCAAGGAAATCGATAACAATGACGGGACCGATGCCRAGATGAGCGATATTCGTGTCTTGTGAAGGCTGTTGAAACAGTGAAGGTGTGAATGCCACCAGGCGCACTAAATCGCACCGGGCGAGGTCAGGGACTAAAACAGTGTCATTATTAAGGAGCCGCGTGTAGTGGAAATGAAGCTTAGTAGTAATGTTAATGATGAAACAACAGCTGGTAGGTATCAAGTGATGAYAGGAACAGCTGCCTAAAGAGGAGCTGGTAGACCGAGTGTCAAGGGATGATGCATGCAGAACTGTTGAAGTTGAAGGGATCTTGCAGGAAGTAAGATCCAGCTAAARCTCAAAGGAAGAGTATGAGTGAAAGCAATAAATGAGTGTAAGAGGAGTGAATTCCGGCACGAGGGCCGTGATTCTTAGAGCTGGAGTGAGAGCTCATATTTCAAGGATCAAGGATCTAGGAATAGTGAATAAGATAGAGAACACTTTATTTCACCAGAATCAGTATCCCCAATTCTCAACAAAGGCCCGAAGCAAGAAAATTGTTACACAAATATTCATTTTTGTATTGAGGATTCAAGAGCTGCCCAAAACACATCGTTGTCGATTACGCTGTACTCCAGCACGATACATAATCGKGTTTTGTCAACAGCCTCCCATAATTCATTGTTAGCCCAAATTCCAATGTACCAACGATCAACAACGCCGAAAACAACAACAAAAAGTAAAGTATTAACTGCTTCTAATAACACACTAACAGCTAGCAACAAACTACTTCTACCATACGGTACTAGCGATACCGACGTATCTCCTCCAGACTTCGGAACACCCAGAAAGTTCTTGAAGGCATCCCCAAGCAACCAACAAATGCTTGCTTTTCATCAAATGTCTTTTCTGAGAGAAGAGCAATTAACCAATTACTCCGGCTGCTCAACACCTACAGATAGGGCAGTTAATTGTAAGTATTCCACCAAACCAGACAGCAATCTTGAAATAGAATGATAAGCACCATCCAACCCTAAACTAAGTCCGACAGGGCCAAAGTAGAGTCCTCACCGCCATAGACAGACTCGGTTTTTTTGGGTTCTTCACTTATCGGTTCCTCATGTGTCGGTTTTCCACTTATCGGTTCCTCATGTGTCGGTTTTCCACTTATCGGTTCCTCATGTGTCGGTTTCAAATGAAGACGACGGTAACGCTCCTTTGATTTTTTACCGCCGTTTCTGTAACCCAAATCATTGTTGCCCGATTCGCTCTCCATGTAATGTTGGTTCCCTTGCTTTAAGATTTCCCCAACACTCAGAATATTATCAGATACACTTTGCGGCTTCCATTTAGGAGTGTCTTGTTCCATTACGAAAAAGCCAGTTTGAGCTTCAAGTTCCGCCATATCTTTGATCCTTCTTCTGATGGAAATATACTCATAGGAATGAATTAATGGAAAGATTAGAGAGCATCCCATCAACACAACCCCGACGACTTCTGGAGTCGCATACAGCTTCGACAGTGCATCCGATGTCTGGCCACCGCTGAAAAGCGATCGCGGAATACTCGACAATAGCATCCCGAAAAAGAAAACAATCACGATCATATTCCCACGAGTCAAGACTTTGCCTCGATTGGTCGTTTCAACAATATCGGGCAAAATGAATACAATGGTTAGAGTCAACGCCGATGTCACTTGCAAGTGACTAGCAACATCCATTCCTTYGCCCGCCTTTAGATCATGTATGGCATTCATTGCGGAGATACATGTCACGAGAATCATGGGAAGGATAAGCTTAACAAAGCTTATGAAACTAAACCTGTTAACAATAAAGGAGACAACAACACCCGGACAGTATCCCTTWATTGAATCATACTGATAGTAAATTTTGGGATGGGGAGAAATGAAATCATAAACCTGCGATCTGTCGATTTTGTCCAAAATTTTGCTGACAAAATGCTTTCTCGTGCTCATCTCCTTTGTTGTAATTCCTTCTAAAAGCATCTGGTTTGGTGCACTCGTATCTAGATTTTGAATGTTGAAATTATTTCGAGGGTCTTCGGTGTGGAGAATGAGATCCGGACGAAAGGTTTCCCCCACGCTTGATATCAAAGAACTCAATCCGATATTAACTCTCGCGACGCAGATTTGAAAGGGAAAAAACGAAAAAAGAGTATCGACTTCGAGTGGAATCAATGCCTCAAATGTKGTCGTAGCTCCTACYACCCCCACGCCCTGTGATACAATAGGTTTTGTGCGCCTCTTTTCAACATATTCGCCAGCTGACTTATCGTTGAAACGATAAGGAAAATGTGCATCTTCGGTTTCTATCTCATGCGGAATATCGAACACTCTTTGGACGAGTTTTGCAACCATAATTAGCCCATCATTGCGGTCTTCGTCATCCTTTATTGATTTGAGAATGATAGTGTTGCAGACTGGAACCCTCGTTTCTTTCATGGTGTTCGCATTATAACGGTAGGTGTCGAATCAATCTGAACTTGGATGCGTTGTGGATTCTGTTCAATGTCATGCGGAAAATTCGTAAAAATTGTCGTACTCATTAGATAGAAATGTGCACGTGACWTGAAGGCCGAAAAAATTTCTTCTGTGGTTTCTCTCATACGGTGGGTTACTCCTTGTTAATCATCAAGATCCAACGAAGTTCCACATCTGAAAGGAAATTCTACASGCGGAGGATCTGATAATAGCTAGATAATAATATTTTGAATAGCCTACAGTGTGTAGCGTTGACCTATCTAACGACACCTCGGCAACAAAACTGTTGATTTTGTTGGAGAGCGAACCGGCTCGATGGAATAGTCGAGAATTGCCAACTCAGATACAGTAAACTCGCACTACACTTATCGTACTTATTGAGAATGTTCCTGTGCAGTGTTAGTTGGTCAAAAGAGAAMCCAAATATTGCTCGGGCACTTATTCGTAGAACAGCATTTAGCTGGAGAACCGATGCGAAGAGAAAAAAATATTTTCACGTGATAATTTTCACTCACACCTCCCAATTTCCTCTTTCTATCGGCCGGTAGGGCCATTGCATACTGAACAATTTTTACTGTACAAATTGAGTACTGCAATCGCAAAGTGTACAATTATATCTGGACGGAGGTAGTACTTCCTAACGTACGAAAATACTAATATTCAGAACAAATTTTTAATAACCTAGTGCTTAAGTACTGTAGTTCGTATCCCGTACAACGAAATGCACGAAAGTCCTCCAAAGTTCAAGCTATCGTCCATTTTTGGTGTTGACTAATTTGGCCGGCAGTGCAATCATGAGCGCAGGTTTGTTACAAGGTATCGTATGGGACCGTACGTAAATTATTGTGCTACTCTTACATCAGTTAAAAATATTTCGGAAACGTTCGCAAAATTACTTATTGTACGGCAGAATTTCGAAATTCCCGCCAAAATTATTTAGTACTGTAGTACAAAGTGTACGTATGCTCCTTAGTGTCACATAAAAGGATGTTTACATTGGGTCATTCCCGAAAACATAGAATCTATGCTTTCTTACTTWACGAATTTATGTMTGGGATTAAGTATGTATGGACATGTAATCTAAAATCTTAGATTATGRCGCGCTACATGTGCTTGATTTTGGAATATGGAATTTTTCTTGAAATGAACAGAAAATAACTGCATTCTAGCCAGCAAATATTGAGAACACATGATGGTGCCAGCAAGTGCGCCAGAAMAAATCCAAACGCTTGTGACTAAGGATTTTCTGAATCATCKATTCCAAAAAAGTATGTGTTTGCATACATACTTTTGGCAGCCGTGGGCCTCCGAGGACCACCAGAAATTTAGTATGTATTTGTGTCTTGAATACATACTTCTAGTATGTCTGCACGTCTGGAATCTAATTCAATTTTCTGAAAATCAATGTTTACAGGAATGACCCATTAAAGAGTGAGYGTGGTGGTGATTGTTCACTCATAACCTGCAAAGTGTACGTATGCTCCTTAGTGTCACATAAAGGGATGTTTACATTAATGAGTGAGCGTGGTGATTGTTCACTCACTATCTACTCATGATTTAGTGTTTTACGTATTACTGGCTCACAAGTAGAAGTATTTAAAAGCAYGAGTGAAAATACAAGGAACGAACCCTAGTAGAAACAATGTAAACACATTGCAACATGCCGGTAGGCTTATYGCTAGTAGGCCAAAATTGTTGTCTTGGTAGTAATCTTCCCTTCCCAAAGCATCTTCCACAGCTTTCAGACAAATCTTCTGCTTCTCTTCCCRGTGAACGCCTTCTTGTTTTGACAGCAATGCCTACTAGTATAGCTTTTTGGGGCTGGTTGTACAAATGGCCAGTCAAGGAACTGAACTTTTATCTGACACAGGTGGAGACTGGTGGTGCAGCAAGACAATTTGTGATCCAAAAACATAAAGAAGCAATGATTGCACCTTTTTATGGAGTGTGAATTTAAAGCAGGGAGGCAACAACAAGAAGCGCCTAAGATTTGCTGGCGCAAAGTCAGAAAAAAATAAGCTTCACTGAAAAAAAATGCCATAAAGKTGTACTAAATACTAACCAAAGAGTTACAAGAACATCAGACACATGAACACACATCATAGGTAGATAATACTAAAGCAGTAAGCTGTTGGGACATGGGAGGTGAACAGCTCATATATTTGCAACATTTGATACCAGAGAGAAATGCTGATCATAACACATCCTTTTGCTACGGTTCAAGCAGTAGGAGCTGATATATCTATTAGACCAAGAAGTATAACAGGAGAACAAACAATGGTTGAGGAGACAATTAACATAGATGGGMAYCAAGAAGACGTAGTGATTGGGAAAATTCAAAAAGGTATAAATCAGCATGCGACAGTCATGAAGAATAATCCAGAGACGTACGTTAAGTAGAGATTTTTCAAGTACACAAAGTTTCCCTTGGAAGATGAAGTTTTAAATGTCATCATAGCAGTCAAYCTCAAAAATATGTTTGGTACAGCAGACCCAGTTCCAGATAGCTTGGTGGTTGCTGCAGCAAGGTGGGGAGGGACTATCAACAKGAGTGCTATCACTGCATGCAGACACAATGCACAGATGTTGGCAAGGAAAGATTACAAGGGTAAGCAAAACTGATGTAAGTGCAAAAACACAATATAAGACACAATTGAGAGACTTTGTGACTCATAGACATCAATCTCTGCTTCTTGATGATAAGTACAGGCAGAAGACCAAAAAATGAGGTAGTACCAGAATTTTTCAGTARCAATTCCTTCATTACAGAAGGATATGGAGGAGAGACGTATGTGCTAAGAAGTAGCTACAGACAAGAAAATAGTCTGGAATTCAAGTACTTTGTAACAAGAATTTTAGGTGTGGTGTCCCCTAAACAAACAGAATTCAAGCAAAGGCAACACAAGGATAAACTGAGCTCCATTTTCATTGCAACAGACAAAGTATTCACACTGCTTTTTTTTGTACAATGGCTAAAAATCATTGAATCATTAAGGAAGCGGAAAGAAAACCAGCAGAAAGTGATTCACCAATACCARGATAGGTAACAAAGGAGGCTGGAGCTACTAGGGATGTATACTGTTTGGAAAGTTAGTCAAAGAGGTAAAGAAGCAAAGAGAGGAAGATGCTTCAGAGGAGATTGAACAAGCCCTAAGGGCGGCGTACAGAAGAGGAAACAGAGACAAAGGGGAGGATAGAATCAATTAAAAAAAGAAAGTTGCGCAAAATGGAGAAACATTTTGATCAGAAAGAACATTGAGGACAAGTTATGGATACAAAAAATAGTGGCAAGCAATAGTGGCACGAAAATACATGTGTTTACAGTTTCTGCTTTTCCAATTAGATAGAATTGCTTAACTTCAAAATAAATTACTAGCACTAGAAGTAGAAAAGTGGTCACTATGCAGCAGAGAGTTGGCAACASGGGAGAGGAATTTGAAAGCAATGAGAGGAATGAAGGAAGTAATGATAGGATTTGGGTGATAACACGAAATAGCTACTTGTCAAATAATTGAGGCAATTTGTCTCCAAATATTGAAAAAAAATTCGAAGAAAAGAATTGAAACCAATCCTGTTAAACTTTGCTTTTGATCTATGTGCCTAACATGCTCAAGCATCTTTTGGGGACCAWGATATACTAGCTGTTAGAGTGAGTTGACCCTTACTTAATTCTCTGCATGTATGTGCCAATTTGGGCTATCTTTTTATGTATATGACTCATGGTATTAACAATTTGACTTGTACTACCAAAATGGTAATAGCACCAAGTGTTGAAACAAAAATTAGAAGTTGGAGCATGTGTGCACAAAACTTAACTTGTGGGATTCAAAAAGTCACCACGTGTGAATGTACCTGCACTAGTACTATGTACCAGATTTTAGTCAAACTAGTCATCACATGCAAAATAAGGGCACATAATCTACATCTGCATTGTACATTTTGGAGCCATGTCTATATGATAGAGACTATGATAAATGACTTTTTAAATGTTATTAACARAAAAAATCAGAAAACAAGTTGATGTCGGAAACAAAGGAAATATCAGACAAGAAATAGGTGACATCATGAGAAACAGAAGAAGACAAAATTCCTTGTTCTAAGAAAAGAGCCATTATTAGTCAATATTGCTTTGAACCATTATCATCACTGGAAATAGTGCAATCATCTGTGGAAAGACAATTTTTGGTAGCAACAGGAGAAGGATCACTAGTCTACTACTACTATGATGTGATATTTTTATACTTTTGGTACAGGCTGTTATACATTTTCTTTTTGGGATGTAATGAGGAGGGTAGATATGAATGAGCAGAAAAATGCATAGTTGATTCCTGTAATTTGGCAATCTTGTTTTATGTAATAGGATTTGAACTGCAATCAACTACACAGGTTCAGACTTGGAAATTTAATATGGGGACAGGGGTTGGTGGGACAGCAACATGAAAAAGATACAAGAAGGTGACACCAAAAATAAGTCAACAATTTGTACAAGTACTTAATGTAATGCAAAACAATGCACAAGAAGTGTTGTGTTTGATTCAAAGAAAAGATGCTGTGAAAAATTGATACATACTAGTAAAAAGAAGGAGACTGCACTTTCTTTGACTTACTAGTAACCAAAATTCTATTAGTATTTACAACAATAGTAGCATGGGGGATGTATACATTGCAGCCCAGCTTACAAGAAGCATGTGTTGCATTGACCAGTGAATGAGGGAGAAGGGCTGATAGTGATATACACTTTTCTGGCCTCCTATGAGTGTGCTCGTACTATTACTGAAGAAAGCAAGGAACATTTCCATTGCATGATTGCATGAAGAAGAGCAATGTTGGTTTCAACAGCTCAAGGACAATWATGGATCAATCGAGGAAGGATCAATCCAGCAAAGATTGCAAGTGAATGCACAAAGAAAAAAAGAACAACGCACGATTCTAGTGCTAGGTAGTCCCACAAAGAGGATGATTGAATTCAATYTATTTCTCCCTGACACAACGTCAATAGAGACGTTTTTATTATCTTGTCTAACATGATGCCATACAGCCGACAGCAGCAATAGCAAGAATATAAGGATTTGGAGAAACTGCAGAATTGTATATTCATTTGAACTGGAGTCCAACTTTGAAGTACAGTACTTCGATACTTACTAATAGAATAGAACAATTCTATAGTATCCAGATGAGATTTGAATCATAGTGTATTCTTTTTGCGAAAGATTGAACCAAGTGGGTGCGAACTCTGTCAAGGTATCCTGATCTTTTTTTGGACCCTGRCATCGAAGCAAAATCCGAGGTTTGCAGTCGAGGACGAGGACTTGTAGAAAAATCATGGCGCCTTCTGGTCTATGGAGGATCCCGAGAATCACAACACTCTCATTTTGAACCTCGTCACGGATCMACGATACGACCATCCTTCGCGTTCCGGATCGATCCGCAATCCCAAATAGCCTCAAACTGTGTCGCGCATGACGTTGGATGTCAAAATCAGCATAGCTTTACGGCCTAGTAGATTGTCTTGTAACTTTTGAAGAACRAGCGCACGGTTGTATCTCGGCTCTCCTGTACAAGGTCGATAGATCCTCCCTTTAGGTATGGGACTCGAGTTATCYCCTTTCCAGCCGAGGAACAAAACCAGATTCCAAAAGCAGCGCGGATGTCAACACGAASACAATYTWTTTGATGTCCTGGTTGAAAAGCAAAGCCGGTAGTCGATGTTGACAGATTCGAGTTTGTTGATGTTTCGGTGCAGCTATGCGTCTTTTGTAGGACGCGAACGCCTTAATCCATCGCATCGCAAGAACAAACAGCCTATCACCACCGCCCATCGCATCTATCAGATYATTCCACTCCGTTTCGAGTTTCAGTAGGTACTGCGACATCAGCGCAGCTGCATAGCGGAACAGCATCGATTTCGTCGTCGTCCAAACCAGAGTAAAAACGGTCTTTTTGAAGGCAACGACCCGAAGAAGAACATTGTTGGTTTCGCTTCGCTTCGCTTCGTTTCGTTTCGATTCGCTTCGCTTCGTTTGGTTTGGTTAATGCACCCCCCCGAGGCGTTCGAGGTCCTCGGTCCAGCCCGCCAGGTCGCACAATTTCCGCACGCTGTCGTCGCAGTCGCCCTCCAGAAACAGATCGCTGGTTCGGCTCCCTCTCCCGCCGCCGATGCCACCCACCCTCTCCCGATTGAGCAGCACCCGTGGGCAATCCGGGGCGACCCACGACGGGATGCCCGCCACCGGCATGACCATGAGGCTCGTTCCGAGGACCAGCAGCAGATCGCATCCCGCGACGTCGCCGTCGATCCGCTCGCAGAACCGCTGGGGCATTTCTTCCCCGAAGAAGACAATGTCCGGCTTGACCAGCGATCCGCACTCGCCGCACCTCGGAGCTTTTYCTTGCGCGACCATCGAGTCCCTGCACTCCCCGGTGGGCATCTTTGCACCGCACGCCACGCACGAGGACGAYCGGAAGTGTCCGTGGCATTCTACGAGTTTGTCGGTCGAAACACCCGCCAGGGCCTCCAGCCCGTCGATGTTCTGGGTGTAGATCCGGTGCAGGAGGTCCTTCTCCTCCAGCAGCTTGAGAAAATTGTGCGAGAGGGTCGGTTTGGGGCCCGATTCTTGCCCGGGCCAGATTGCCTTGCACAGGTCGACRAAGGGCATCGGGTTCTTCTTGTAGTAGCCCAGATCGAAGATGGCTTCCGGAAACGGGAGGTTGTATTCGCTCAGCTGGTCGTASAGACCCGTTCCGGGGGTGCGAAAGTCGGGGATGCCGGCGGAACAGCTGGCGCCCGCACCGACCAGCGCAACAATCTTCGAATACCTCGACTTGGAAAGCTGGTCCGCCAGGACCTCCGCGGAGAGTTTGTCTTCGTTGTCTTTGCTGCTGCTGCTGCTGCTGCTGCTGCTGGACGAGGAGGAAGAGAACCTCTTGGTGTTCCGTGTCGATTGTCTGTAGATCGTTGCCGCGGTGCGGGGGGCAAAAAGAGAAGACAAGGCCAAATTGCCATCGTTGCGGTTCCCGTGACGGGACCAAGCCGGACGAAGCAGCGTCGTGCCAGCCGTCCGTTTCGGTCCAATCGAACCGGACAAAGAAAAGGATCCACCCATCGGGGGGGRGTTCGTTGCCGAGAAGCAGTGCACGCAAGAACAGGTCGTCCAGAAGAAAAGAGCTCGCGAAAGCCGTGCCGTGGACCGATCCAYCGATCGAATCGTCGATCGCTTCTCCTTCGCCCCGGCCGAGCTTTCTGGTGTCCTCGTTCCTCCTGTGGTTGCAACAATGCTAGACGACGACCGGGATCGCTGCAGCAGGAATTTGCTGCTTCTCGTTCCTGTGGCAATGTTCATTTTTTCTAGCTGGAGATTCCAGAGACGGCTGTGTCCTTCGATAGACAACACGATGTCTCACCCATCAAAATCAGGCAGAGTTGAGGCAACTGCTTCTGTTTTTGTGCTGTACAGTACAGTATGTCAGTACGAGTACGAGTACCGTACGAAAACTGTGCTTTCGCCTAGCCTAGAGGACCCGTTATGTTCTTACGGAGAGAAGATCAAGATCCATCCAGATTTCCAAGTGACAGAAAGAAGGATTTTGGATTTTGGATTTTTTCCCTTCGAAAGATCC